CTGTGATTGTTCTTTATGTATGTGGTGATTCTCCTGAGAGTAGAATAAAAGCAACTTGTTCTGATTTCAGGCTTAATAGTTCAATTACTTTTCCTTTCTTATAGAGAAACACTTAGTGTTTGTGAAGCAGAATTGTTCATACCACTGGGAGAAGCTTAAAACTACCATTAGACTTATGTGTCAGATCTCCAGGGAGTGCTTTGAATAACATGGGAAACTTCAGCCTCTTCAAAAGAGACCTGGCACTGAGCAATATCTGGCTCTTCTTGTGTGCAATAAGGTGCCTGTGGGGCAGGAATTGTTGCTTTAGTTTATATAGCTTGTTTGTTGTCTCGTGTCTTTAGTCCGGCCTATGTATTTGGCCATAAGTACCCCAGAAGTCCTTCTTTTCTATTGCTCACTGTTATCAAACCCAGCTAACCCTTATTGACATATCTAGGATTTCATGCCAAATGTGAAATTATTCTTACTTGATAAGCAAAACGTGTTACAACTTTCTTGCAGTCCTTAACTCTTACAATAAAATCACTAGCTGCATGTGAATCCATGTACCAGCACATGCTGAAAAGCAGCTTTGCAGAAAATGACCTGCATCTTTCTGGATGTTGAGTTGAACACAAGCCAACAATGTGCCCTTGCAGCAAAGGTGGCTGAAGGTATCCTGGGCTGCATTAGGCAAAGCATTGCCAGCCTGTCGAGGGAGGTGATCCTTCCCCTCTATTCGGTACTGGTGAAGTTACACTTGGAGTACTGTGTCCAGTTCTGTGCTCCCCAGTACAAGAGAGACATGGAACGTGCTGGAGAGAGTCCTGCAAAGAGTGACTAAGGTGATCAAGGGACTGCAGGGAGCACCAGTCCTGTAATGAGGAGAGGCTAAGAGAGCTGGTTCTTTTCAGCCTGGAGAATAAAAGGCTCAGGAGATCTCGTCAACCTATATAAATGTATATAAATACTTGAAAAGAGAGTGTAAAATAATATTTTTCTTCTTTTCCTAAAAAGAAGAGAGCCTTGTACATTTGTTCATGCTTACAGAGGCAGAAGGTGATAGGTCTGTCCTATTTTTCCTTCTTCTCATGAGCAAGAAGCCAAAGTAAAATGGTATATTGCCATACCTAGTTATGGAGTTTGGAGGCACATGACTGCCTAGAGGCAGTCTCCAATGTGCTTGTTCTTAGTTTTGTACCCTTGCATTACTTCTAAGAGACTAAATGTCATTTTTGTTGTGAACCATTTTACCTTGCAGTGGTATTGATCAAATTTCAAACCTAACCTTCCTGCTAAAACCAAGACAAGGACAGCTGAAATGGGTCTGCTGACTACTGCAAGCTTTTCGGTCACCATAGCGGTGGCATAAATGCATTAATATGTAGCTTCCCAGTTTGGGAAAACCTTGCTGCAGAAAATGGAGAAGTAGAATAAAGAGCTGTAGGAATATATCCGTAATACCTATATGAGTCAAGGCTTCCCCTTGCTATTTTCAAATTTGTTTTGAGAACTTTTCAGCTCTATTGTTACTTATGTAGGGAGGCATGCAAGTGGTACGTGCCCTAAGCAGCTGAGAGAACCTCCTCTCCTTTAACCAATAACAACTAGTTCTTGCGATAACTCATAAACCTTGAGTGAACCTGCTCATCAGAGGGTTAATAAAAATGTCCCCAAGACGAGAAAACACAAGGCTTTATTGGAGCAGTGTTGGGGTTTGTCTGTGGGGAAGTACCTGCAAATGGAACAAATTGCTTGATTATGATCAAATGGGATGCTTCTGTTAATGTCATCAGAAGATGTATTAGTTTTATGTGTGTGTCTTAAATCTCCCCTTGCAATTGCAAGTCTGTTTACTTTCAGCGATAGTTCCAGGGACTCTAGATCTTCTTTTCCTTTTTCCTTTGCCAAAGTGCAGAACTGGAGTAGTGGGGAGTGAGGGAGAAGAGGGGGTTTGATTCCTGTGAGGCAAAAGTTGTTTAAAAATAAAGTCCTGCCTTTATCAGTACAAACTGTCATGAGGTGGGGGGGTAAGGCGATGCATAAAGTCCTAGTTAACTATTTTCAGCTTTTGAATATGGGCATACCTGAAAAGGTATTTTCTAAATGACATGCATCAAGATATTAAGAAGATTTGCACCATGAATCCTCTTCTTCTTCTCCCTCCTTGCCCCTATTTTCTCAACCAAAGATGATTTAGAGCAACTTTTCTGAAGTTTAAGAAATCCAGCACAGGCAACTTGGGGCAGTCTGTATCCTAGCATATGAAAATAAAGGTGCATCTGACATTGCCTATCCAAGAAAATAAAAACCACTAAAATTTACTTTTCACTTGTATAGTGTCTGCTCACATTGTTTGGAGCCAAAGTACTTAATTATTCCAGTATGAGCAAAAGTTATGCTGCTTGGAAAGCAGCTACGTATTTCCCACTGCACCAAAGCTATCTAAAGTATGTTTTGTGACCATCTTTGTTCCTGCAGCTGGTATGCAGAGCGTGCATTCAAGCTTATTGCAGGCATAAAGTAACTTAAAATCCTAGACTGCAGATCATGGATGTTCGTGTGCTAATAGCAGATAGTTGTGTGCAAATAGGGACATTTTAAGAGCGTGGCAAGTTTGGCTGGAGAGTATCCATGATTCTCTATACGAAGTGATTTTTAACTTGGAGACCTGGCTGTCTCTTACCCCAAAATGTTAACTACCTGGGTGTGAAGGGCAGCTGTGTGCTACTCAGTCCAGCGTCTTCTTCCATTTGAGTCCGAGCCCCCTTCACACCTCCAGACCTCAAACACTGGTGGATTTTAACGTAAGTTACGTACTGAGAAACAGTGCTCATTACCTAAGAGTAAAGGTGGAGTAATGCAATGAGGTAATGGCCCAGTGATAATGGCAACAGATACTTCAGTGCCTCTCTTATGAGATCAGTTGCTTTATGAGGAAGGAATAATAAAAAAAGTCCAAGTGTGCTTAGTGCATGGAAAATGACTGGAGAACTGATGTTGGATATGACATTTAATGCAGTATTGCATTAAATGCTGGGCAGCAGCAGAAGTCAAGACATCTTTTCAGGGATAATAGATCACAGATTGTATGTATCAGGTACTTTGTGTGTCCTTTGGGACTTCCGGAAAATTCATCTGCAGGCCCTAGCAGAAATGGATGAAGTTACTTTGGTTGGTCTCTACTTATATGAACTCTTGTGATCCACTGTACCTACCTCAAATACTTTTTTGGTGGCATCGTGTATTTACTTGCCTGCTCTCAACCTGCCTGTTTTAGGGATGCTTCTCATTTCAGCACTACTTTCTTAGGACAAATGACTGTCTTGGTGAGAACTCTCTCTATCCTTTTCTATCCAGAGCCTGTAGGCTATGGAAAGACACTGCATGCAGTTTACCAGGAGAAAAATCTAGTTCTGTACCTTCATTTACTTTCAATGCTTCTCCTTTTATCTTCTGTAATAGCTTGTGTGTTGAAAGTGCATTTTTAATTAAATTGTTTGCATCTTGTATATGCACAATACATTTACTTTGAGGGTATTTTTATTACAGCATCAGTGTGGTGATGTGTAATAAGTCTCAAGAATAATTAAAACCTGTGTTAACTTGTGTATGTTTTCCATAGTGATTGAACTTTGTGTTGAGTCTCTGCTGGGTCCAAGATCAGATCTTAATCAAGTAGGAAGGAAGGAAGGGCTGATGAGGGAAGGAACGGCCTCTGAAGTTCTTAGCAGTTTAACAGAAACTTCACCTGTCATGTTTACTAAAAAATGTATATTGCCTCCAGTTTTAGGTATTTAGCCTTAGATAGTTTTTGTGTCCAGCATTTACTGAGGGAAAAGCACAGGAAGTTGGATAATGTTATGAATCAGCTTTTGGAGATATTTTCACGTCTTCTGTATATAGATGTAGCCCCAGAGTTTTGTTCAGGCAATCTTGGTTTATACTGAAGGGAAAAAAGCAGTGTAACCTGGGAAGGCTTTAACTGCATCATGATGTAAACAAAGCAAAGATTTGAACAACTAGGGGTTTCTAGGAGAGAATATGATAAATCATTTTTCTCTTTTATTTCAGGGAGGTAGAAGTACATGTCAGAGTCAGCAAGGTGCATGATTTTGATCTGAAACTTTGACTCTCTATGCTAAATAGCCATTAGTTTTTCTTTTAATCAGTGAGGTTTCTACAGTCTAGTTCTAGAAAGGCAGGGAAGGCTGGGTTTTCCAAGTCCCTTCCTACAAAAGATGAAGATGGTTAATAATGCTTGAGCACTTGAAGACCTGAAGAGACATTAAAAAATTGACTTGCTGAATCTGGAAATGCCAATAACTACTTGCTTCCCTGAAACATTGTAATCAAATGGTTTACATTCATCATGGCATACTAGGTTTCAAAGATGGGATAAAAAAAGGGGCCTGATTCAAGGACAGTGATTGTAATCCTGTTGCACGAAATACTTTGGAAAAGTGTTGTCTGTCTTTGCTGAAAAGTAGACTTTCACACTGGCTTGTAGATAGTTTGATTTTGCGAAAGACGGCAGGTGAATTAACAATAATCATGCTAGCTTTGCCAAGGATTCTGTGACATCCTGCTTATACCTAAGTCAAGCTGAGGCATGTAACAGTGTTTTGAAATAGATAGTAGTTCTGAAGTCCCTAATATTAAACCAAATCTAAGAACTGCACTGGAGGTTAAATGCTGGTTCAGTCTGGAGGAGTGTGTTTCATCTCTGGAAGAGTTCCATTTGGGTTAAACTGGTAAATCAAGTAAAAGCTTATCTGATGAAACCCCCCTATTTGAATGCCATAGCACCTGCACTACTTTTTCTTAGGTGAAACAAGTTTTTAATTTTTCCTTGCATTATTGTTAGCAAGTACACATAGCCTAGCATTCACAAAGAACTTCAGTGAGTATTTTGAAACTATGAACAATGGTGGAAAACCTGAGAGGAACACTTTTTTTTTTTTTTGAGGCTGACAGGATTTTCCAAGATTGACTGACTGTAAAGTGTTTTCTTACAGGTTGTGTCAAATGCTGCTGGACAGGGCGTTGCCATCACTGGAAACAACACTTTTAACAACTGGAATTGGCCTAACGCTGTTATCTTTGCTGCTACTGTGATCACTACAATCGGTAAGTATTTATTACGTCAGCTTTCCCAACTAGTTTTCTGTCTGCTCTAGTTTGTGTGTACTCTCCCATTTATGTACCAAGCTAGCCACTGAATAAAGTCCCATGGCTGGAGTTGCCTAGAGTACATGTTCACCTGCAGGTTCATTCAGCTTAAAAAGAGTTTTTTGGAACTCTCTCCATGGATATACCGAAATATGTGCCTTTCCAGTAACTAATGGATTCAAGGTGCTGTTGGGGATGACTGGTGTCGTTCCAGTTCCCTTAATTCATGCACGTAAATTTCCAAATCATGAAATCCCCAAAGGAAAGCATTACAAAGCATTCGATTAAACTAAACTTTAAACATAAAGCATGTGCATATGAGGTGTTTGAATAGCTGTACCATTACTCATGTGCATCCTTTTAAGCTACTGAATTATCAGTGTTCCTGGTCTGCAGAACAATCTAGACTTTGCATCTATCAAAGAAGAAAAAGTAGAACAAGTGTAGTCTTCTAAGTTTCGCTACTGATTTGTGCTTGTAAAACCCTCTGCACTGAAAGACTTCTTCCTCTTTTGATATGCAGATTTTTCAGGGCTCAACATCATCTGCATTCTGCTTTTACAGAAAAATATTTGCTATGTGGTATTGCTACACCCTTGCTATACACCAACAGTGCAAAAAAACCCCAGGAATGCAAAATAACTAGAGAAGGCTGGAGGTATACAGAAATGGAAGTCTTACTGTTAAACCATACGCAGTACTGTGGTTTTCTTTATTATTTGAAACTTACAATATCCAGCTTATATTATAATTTATGATAAAAACTTGAAGTCGGGAACACCCCTAAATAAGAAAGCTTTGACAGAAGTTCAGGAAATAGGCTGTTGATTTTAGAGGCTGAGTTTGTAATGCCCTTTTGGGTTATGTGGCCAGCAAAGACCTAAATTCAGTTGAAATAACTTTCTATGTCACAGCTCACCATGCACTTAAACTCTCAAACCCTTACCCTGGAAAGGTACCAGGTCACAAGTTAAATGTGCAAAGTGGATCTTTCATGTGGAACCTAGCTTCAGGATGAATTTTGAGGTTTTCTTCTATAAATTTGAATCAGTCAAGCTTTTAACAGTGCTGATTAAGATTGGAGAATAATATTAGAAGTTTTGAGATGAGCTTTATTTCATATTTATCTCATCTTGTCAAGAACAAAGATGCACAAAATCTAGGAACATTTAAAATGCAGCATTCCTCTCAACCTACATTAATGGAATATGTTTGCTAGAGTAGAATTGGAAGGCATCCAGATTCTGAAGATCAACAGCTGGAGCAGACTAAAGCTCTTCTAGATGGTGAAGTAAGGAACGTCTGATACAGCAGAAGCCCACGCAGTGTTGTTTTGTTCATAGGTAGCATTGCCTTGAATTCTCTGCAACAGCAACAGACCATGCACAAACTTATCTCTCTTAGGTTACGGAAATGTTTCTCCAAAGACACCCTCTGGGCGTCTCTTCTGCATATTTTATGGGCTCTTTGGAGTTCCTCTCTGCTTGACATGGATCAGTGCTTTGGGGAAGTTCTTCGGAGGACGTGCCAAGAGGCTGGGCCAGTTTCTAACGAAAAGAGGAGTAAGCCTGGTAAGGCCCTTGCTTGTTTACCTTTGTGCTGTGTATTTTTAATGCATGAATTAAGCTTACACTTCTTAACTTGCTTGCTAATCTTAGTAAATGAACACTTGCACAAATATGAATTTTCCCAAATGGTGTTGCATATAAATAACTCAGAGTGGTATTGGGTCTGATAAGTTAGTTCTGCAAGAAGCTTTAGCCAAATAAGATATTGTAGAAACCTTTGATACTAGATATAGATCTTGTAGCTTCTATGGAAACATGTATGTCCTTACATTAGAAACCTGTAGGACAAATGTAGGTGAGGCTCCATTTCACAGACGTTATATGCAAGTTCCCCTGGCACGAAAATAAGTTGTTCTGCTTTGTTCCCACCTGCTTCTATGCTAGCATAACTTCCTGCTGTGTAGTGAACCATCTGGAAAATAATGTTTTGAGTTACTGGCTTCTTGGTTTTTTGTTTGTGGCTTTTTGTTCTTTTGGTGGTGTCTTGGATGTGACTATCTGCCTTCCCCTCCTCTCCGCTCCTCCTCTCCCTGCCCCCTCCCCCC